ACCTCAGGGGACTGGGAACGATGAAGTATTTTTATGAACCTTCAAACACTGATGTCAGTTTTCTCCAGGTCTGTGGCTCAGGAGCTTTACTGTCCCACTGTGGAGACACAGTTTGATGAATATACATAAAAGAATACAGCGTACAATTACTTCTGCACTTCTTAAAGGCAAAGTGAGGTACAGTGTCTTGCCCAAGGACACAACGACAGCAGACATCAGTGGGAGTCAGAGGGTTCGAACCCACAACCTTCAGGCTCAAAGGCCAAGCCCTCTCTCTGTTCAAAGTATCTCCCAAAAGAATAATTCATGATTATGATTCTTTTATGGTTATATTACGACACAAAAGTTTTAAAAACTGTTTAGTGTATATAGTGTGTGTATACTGTGCGTATCTCTGTGTGTAGTGTGTCTATCCCTCTCTGTGTGTGTGTCTGTGCCTGGTGCCTCTGCTCCTGAAGTAGAACTGGGTTATCTGCTCCCAGAGGAGATGAAGTGAAACCTCCGTCTCTGCTCCCTCTGCACCTCTTCACACTCTCTCACCTCCTCCTCCACCTCCTCCTCCACACACTCTCTCACCTCCTCCACACTCTCAGCACCTCCTCCTCCACACTCTCTCACCACCTCCTCCTCCACACTCTCTCACCTCCTCACCACACTCTCACCTCCTCACACTCTCTCACCTCCTCCACACTCTCTCACCTCCTCCACACTCTCTCACCTCCTCCTCCACACTCTCACACTCTCTCACTCTCTCTCACCTCACTCTCCTCTCACCTCCTCCACACTCTCTCACCTCTCACACTCTCTCCTCCACACTCCTCCACTCCTCTCCCCTCCTCCACACTCTCTCCCCTCCTCCACACTCTCTCCCCTCCACACCCCTCCTCCACACTCTCTCCCTCCTCCCACTCTCTCACCTCCTCCACACTCTCTCCCCTCCTCCACACTCTCTCCCCCTCTCACACTCTCTCCCCTCCTCACACTCTCTCCCCTCCTCCACACTCTCTCCCCCTCCACACTCTCTCCCTCCACACCCTCCTCCACACTCTCTCCCCTCTCCACACTCTCTCTCCCACCTCCTCACACTCTCCTCCTCACACTCTCTCCCCTCTCCACACTCTCTCACCTCCACACTCTCTCACCTCCTCCACACTCTCTCACCTCCTCACACTCTCTCACCTCCTCACACTCTCTCACCTCCTCACTCTCTCACCTCCTCACACTCACCTCCTCACACTCTCTCCCCTCCTCCACACTCTCTCCCCTCCTCCACACTCTCTCCCCTCCTCCACACTCTCTCCCCTCCTCCACACTCTCTCCCCTCCTCCACACTCTCTCCCCTCCTCCACACTCTCTCCCCTCCTCCACACTCTCTCCCCTCCTCCACACTCTCTCCCCTCCTCACTCTCGACAACTTTTGTAAAGCACCAAATTAGGGCAAAAGACAAAAATACATTGAAATAAATACCGCCTTAAATTTCAAATCTCAAACCATTCTTTTTCAGCCGGAGACCCTCACTCAATGAATAGTGACATTTCTGAATGTCCCAGACTTATTGACTCATGACTTGAATGGTCCATTGTCAGTTTATAGTGCTGAAAGGGGCGTGGCCTGAGACTACCATGTGGGAGTACCATGTGGGAGTGAAGCAGTAGCTGTGGCCAGGGCAGTAAAATAAAAAAAAACTAATAACAATTGTAAACCGCTTTGTGACTCTGGTCTGTGAAAGGCGGTATATAAATAAAGCTTACTTACTTAACTATACGAGGATGTTACCGTCATTTATGAGACGTCTGACCTTGTCCCAGTCTGACTGCACTGGAGGAAACTGACTGCACTGCACTGGAGGATACTGACTGCACTGCACTGGAGGATACTGACTGCACTGCACTGGAGGATACTGACTGGACTGCACTGGAGGATACTGACTGGACTGCACTGGAGGATACTGACTGGACTGCACTGGAGGATACTGACTGGACTGCACTGGAGGAAACTGACAGGACTGCACTGGAGGATACTGACAGGACTGCACTGGAGGAAACTGACTGCACTGCACTGGAGGATACTGACTGCACTGCACTGGAGGATACTGACTGCACTGCACTGGAGGATACTGACTGCACTGCACTGGAGGATACTGACTGCACTGCACTGGAGGATACTGACTGCACTGCACTGGAGGATACTGACTGCACTGCACTGGAGGATACTGACTGCACTGCACTGGAGGATACTGACTGCACTGCACTGGAGGATACTGACTGCACTGCACTGGAGGAAACTGACTGGACTGGAGGAAACTGACTGCACTGCACTGGAGGATACTGACTGCACTGCACTGCACTGGAGGAAACTGACTGCACTGCACTGGAGGATACTGACTGCACTGGAGGAAACTGACTGCACTGCACTGGAGGAAACTGACTGCACTGCACTGGAGGAAACTGTGACTGCACTGCACTGGAGGATACTGACTGCACTGGAGGAAACTGACTGCACTGGAGGAAACTGACTGCACTGGAGGATACTGACTGCACTGGAGGAGTCAAACTGAGAGTAAAGTAAAGAGGCAAACAACACAAGACTGAAAATCAAACATGGGACTGACTCATACAACAGCAGAGAGAGAGAGAGACAGAGACAGACAGAGACAGACAAGTACTTTCAGAGAAACAAACATGTTGTTCATTAACATCAGTGACAGAGGGACCACAACAAATATCACGTCAGCTGCACCTCGTCCCAGCCCGAAATGACAACAGTAAGAACTTTATAAAACTGTCGATTCACCAACACAGATCAGAGAATCAACCCGTTCAAATACAGGAAACGCAACAATAAAAGCACAGAGACATTGGTCCATACTGAGCAGAGACACTGTCCTTAAACACAGAGACACTGTCCTTAAACACAGAGACACTGTCCTCAAACACAGAGACACTGTCCTCAAACACAGAGACACTGACCTTAAACACAGAGACACTGACCTTAAACACAGAGACACTGTCCTTAAACACAGAGACACTGTCCTTAAACACAGACACTGTCCTTAAACACAGAGACACTGACCTTAAACACAGAGACACTGACCTTAAACACAGAGACACTGACCTTAAACACAGAGACACTGTCCTTAAACACAGAGACACTGTCCTCAAACACAGAGACACTGACCTTAAACACAGAGACACTGTCCTTAAACACAGAGACACTGTCCTTAAACACAGAGACACTGTCCTTAAACACAGAGACACTGTCCTCAAACACAGAGACACTGTCCTCAAACACAGAGACACTGACCTTAAACACAGAGACACTGTCCTTAAACACAGAGACACTGTCCTTAAACACAGAGACACTGTCCTCAAACACAGAGACACTGTCCTTAAACACAGAGACACTGTCCTCAAACACAGAGACACTGACCTTAAACACAGAGACACTGTCCTTAAACACAGAGACACTGACCTTAAACACAGAGACACTGACCTTAAACACAGAGACACTGTCCTTAAACACAGAGACACTGTCCTTAAACACAGAGACACTGTCCTTAAACACAGAGACACTGTCCTTAAACACAGAGACACTGTCCTTAAACACAGAGACACTGTCCTCAAACACAGAGACACTGTCCTCAAACACAGAGACACTGACCTTAAACACAGAGACACTGTCCTTAAACACAGAGACACTGTCCTTAAACACAGAGACACTGTCCTCAAACACAGAGACACTGTCCTCAAACACAGAGACACTGACCTTAAACACAGAGACACTGTCCTTAAACACAGAGACACTGTCCTTAAACACAGAGACACTGACCTCAAACACAGAGACACTGTCCTTAAACACAGAGACTGTCCTTAAACACAGAGACACTGTCCTTAAACACAGAGACACTGTCCTCAAACACAGAGACACTGTCCTTAAACACAGAGACACTGACCTTAAACACAGAGACACTGTCCTTAAACACAGAGACACTGTCCTTAAACACAGAGACACTGTCCTTAAACACAGAGACACTGTCCTTAAACACAGAGACACTGTCCTAAACACAGAGAACTGTCCTTAAACACAGAGACACTGTCCTTAAACACAGAGACACTGTCCTTAAACACAGAGACACTGACCTTAAACACAGAGACACTGTCCTTAAACACAGAGACACTGTCCTTAAACACAGAGACACTGACCTTAAACACAGAGACACTGTCCTTAAACACAGAGACACTGTCCTTAAACACAGAGACACTGTCCTTAAACACAGAGACACTGTCCTTAAACACAGAGACACTGTCCTTAAACACAGAGACACTGTCCTCAAACACAGAGACACTGACCTTAAACACAGAGACACTGTCCTCAAACACAGAGACACTGTCCTTAAACACAGAGACACTGACCTTAAACACAGAGACACTGACCTTAAACACAGAGACACTGTCCTTAAACACAGAGACACTGACCTCAAACACAGAGACACTGTCCTTAAACACAGAGACACTGTCCTTAAACACAGAGACACTGTCCTTAAACACAGAGACACTGTCCTTAAACACAGAGACACTGTCCTTAAACACAGAGACACTGTCCTTAAACACAGAGACACTGACCTCAAACACAGAGACACTGTCCTTAAACACAGAGACACTGTCCTTAAAACACAGAGACACTGTCCTCAAACACAGAGACACTGTCCTTAAACACAGAGACACTGACCTTAAACACAGAGACACTGTCCTTAAACACAGAGACACTGTCCTCAAACACAGAGACACTGACCTTAAACACAGAGACACTGACCTTAAACACAGAGACACTGTCCTTAAACACAGAGACACTGACCTCAAACACAGAGACACTGTCCTTAAACACAGAGACACTGTCCTTAAACACAGAGACACTGACCTTAAACACAGAGACACTGACCTTAAACACAGAGACACTGTCCTTAAACACAGAGACACTGACCTTAAACACAGAGACACTGTCCTTAAACACAGAGACACTGTCCTCAAACCATCACAGACCCTCACAGACTGACACAGACTGACACAGACTGACACAGACCATTCCACCCCTGTCCGTTCCAACACACACAGGGCAGTCACTTAAGGTGGTAATTAGAGGATTTGATAATATTGCGAGTCTGAACCAGTACAACTTATTTCACAACAGATACGAGCACTTTCATTTGAGCACTTGCCGATAAGAGTACTGCATTGTATCATCTCTGGTAATTCATAAAACTTATACAACTGAAATCTAAAATGTTTTATTTCAACAATAAGAACATGTTTTCCCCAGTTGTGATTCTGTGATTTGTTGTGATTCATGTTCCTCATATTATTCTTTACAAACATGGAGGAAAAAAGGCTCTAGTCTCCGTGGTCTGGACCTCATCAGGACCTCATCAGGACCTCATCAGGACCTCATCAAGAACTCATCAAGACCTCATCAAGACCTCATCAGGACCTCATCAAGACCTCATCAGGACCTCATCAAGACCTCATCAGGACCTCATCACGGACAGGACTCTCACAGATGTTTGACGGCTGCATCTCGTCTGTTTGTGTTTAGAACCCAGAGAGAGATGTTTGGCTTTGGGACGAGAACCTTGCGTCACCCGCTGCAGCAGCCGCCTCCTGTAACCGCCTCCTGTAACCGCCTCCTGTAACCGCCTCCTGTAACCGCCTCCTGTAACCGCCTCCTGTAACCGCCTCCTGTAACCGCCATACACTCATGAGGGGGAGGTTTATCTTCTGTTCTGTACAATAACAGGGCTGTGTGAATATGTCCCGTGAGTCTAATGATGACAACGACTCATGGACTGAGAGGTTGGAAAAGAAACTGCAGACCAATAGAATAAGTTAGAGTCTGAACGTCTGAAGTCTAAAGTTAGACACAGGAATCTGGGAATCTTTCAGAGCCGACGGATGCCTCATGTAGAGAACAAGGAGAGTTCAAAAAGCTTTTCCGACTAAGTACGTACGTAGGTAGGTAGAGAACCCAGAGAGAGATGTTTGGCTTTGGGACGAGAACCTTGCGTCACCCGCTGCAGCAGCCGCCTCCTGTAACCGCCTCCTGTAACCGCCTCCTGTAACCGCCTCCTGTTACCGCCTCCTGTTACCGCCTCCTGTAACCGCCTCCTGTTACCGCCTCCTGTAACCGCCTCCTGTTACCGCCTCCTGTTACCGCCTCCTGTTACCGCCTCCTGTTACCGCCTCCTGTTACCGCCTCCTGTTACCGCCTCCTGTTACCGCCTCCTGTAACCGCCTCCTGTAACCGCCTCCTGTAACCGCCTCCTGTTACCCCCGCGCCTCCTGTACCGCCTCCTGTTACCGCCTCCTGTTACCGCCTCCTGTTACCGCCTCCTGTTACCGCCTCCTGTTACCGCCTCCTGTTACCGCCTCCTGTTACCGCCTCCTGTTACCGCCTCCTGTTACGCCTCCTGTAAGCGCCTCCTGTTACCGCCTCCTGTAACCGCCTCCTGTAACCGCCTCCTGTAACCGCCTCCTGTAACCGCCTCCTGTAACCGCCTCCTGTAACCGCCTCCTGTAACCGCCTCCTGTAACCGCCTCCTGTAACCGCCTCCTGTAACCGCCTCCTGTAACCGCCTCCTGTAACCGCCTCCTGTAACCGCCTCCTGTAACCGCCTCCTGTAACCGCCTCCTGTAACCGCCTCCTGTAACCGCCTCCTGTAACCGCCTCCTGTAACCGCCTCCTGTAACCGCCTCCTGTAACCGCCTCCTGTAACCGCCTCCTGTAACCGCCTCCTGTAACCGCCATCCACTCATGAGGGGGAGGTTTATCTTCTGTTCTGTACAATAACAGGGCTGTGTGAATATGTCCCGTGAGTCTAATGATGACAACGACTCATGGACTGAGAGGTTGGAAAAGAAACTGCAGACCAATAGAATAAGTTAGAGTCTGAACGTCTGAAGTCTAAAGTTAGACACAGGAATCTGGGAATCTTTCAGAGCCGACGGATGCCTCATGTAGAGAACAAGGAGAGTTCAAAAAGCTTTTCCGACTAAGTACGTACGTAGGTAGGTAAGTCAGAAGGTATTTACTTTCACAACATGGAGGCATTTCAAACAAAATATGACGTTTTTATACGGGTTTGGAAACATTATTAGTCATATTTTTTGGTTTTAGTTTGGGCCAAAATGAGGTCCTGAGGTGTCCGACAGTCGGGACGTCAGACTGGAAAGCTCAAGATCGAGAAAAGCTTGATTTTTCTCTTTAACGGTTTCATAAAAGTCACACATTCAGGTTAAAAGAGTTGTTGCCATCTCCCTCCCTCCTCTCACTCTGTCCAGCTGCCAACACTCCCTCCTCCTCCTCTTTCTCCCCCTCCCTCCCTCTCTCTCTCTCTCTCTCCCTAAATCCTGCACAGCCCAGCTCATGTTGCAGTGCATTGTGGGATGTCCTGATCTAATCTCTGTGACTGGACGTTTGGCTCTCGTTGGTCCTGGTTCCGTCGTGAAGGACGAGCAGCTCCGCCCTCTCCCTGCTCTGCTGTCAGTGTGTGTGACACTGTGTGTGTGTCTCAGTGTGTGTGACACTGTGTGTGTCTCAGTGTGTGTGACACTGTGTGTGTGTCTCAGTGTGTGTGTCTCCGTGTGTATAAATGTGTGTGTCTGTGTGGTAGTGTAAAGCCTGACTAAAGCTGCTGCACAGAGGAGCTCATAACACAGACACAGACACACACAGACACACAGACACACACAGACACACACAGACACACACAGGGGGAGAGTGACCTACTATTGAGGTGCATCACAAATACCAAAGACTGCGGTCGTTTCAAGGACAAGTTACACTAGAGCTCCCAGAGCCGTCATTCTGACTGCTCCACTTAAAGTTCTATGGCCGACGTCTCCACTGTCCTCGGTCTGGTCCTCGGTCTGGTCCTCGGTCTGGTCCTCGGTCTGGTCCTCGGTCTGGTCCTCGGTCTGGTCCTCGGTCTGGTCCTCGGTCTGGTCCTCGGTCTGGTCCTCGGTCTGGTCCTCGGTCTGGTCCTCGGTCTGGTCCTCGGTCTGGTTTCCTATATTTCATTTGATATTCACCACTTATACAAATAAAAATGAAATATTTTGACAGCTACACAACAGCTACACAGCAGCTACACAACTAATCACAGCTGGTTGCATCATCAGTCTGAGCCGAGAAGAACCACCCAGAGCCACAAGAACAAACAATAAAACAAGCCAAAAAGTAAAACAATTGGAACTCTTTTTGTTGATTGATTTCAGAGACAATAACAAAAGCAAGATCAGCTTGTTCAGACAGAACAGCTGAGAGAAGCAGTTAGCATGTTAGCTGTTAGCATGTTAGCATGTTCACTATCGTTCACTGAGATGTCCTGCATCCAAATTGGCTTTTCAAGAGTCATTGATTATTATAAGAGCTCGGTTTAAGAGTCTGGATTCAGAAATAACCTCCAGAACAGAGAGCTCAGAGTCCCTCTTTCTGGGCCTCGCACTCTCTGCACTCTCTGCTCGCGCTTCTCTCTCGGCACCCTCTCTCTCGGCACCCTCTCTCTCGGCACCCTCTCTCTCGGCACCCTCTCTCTCGGCACCCTCTCTCTCGGCACCCTCTCTCTCGGCACCCTCTCTCTCGGCACCCTCTCTCTCGGCACCCTCTCTCTCGGCACCCTCTCTCTCGGCACCCTCCTCTCTCGGCACCCTCTCTCTCGGCACACTCTCTCTCTCGGCACTCTCTCTCGGCACACTCTCTCTCTCGGCACTCTCTCTCTCGGCACACTCTCTCTCTCGGCACTCTCTCTCTCTCGGCACTCTCTCTCGGCACACTCTCTCTCTCGGCACTCTCTCTCGGCACACCTCTCTCTCTCGGCACTCTCTCTCTCTCGGCACTCTCTCTCGGCACCCTCTCTCTCGGCACTCTCTCTCGGCACACTCTCTCTCTCGGCACTCTCTCTCTCGGCACCCTCTCTCGGCACTCTCTCTCGGCACACTCTCTCTCTCGGCACTCTCTCTCGGCACACTCTCTCTCTCGGCACCCTCTCTCGGCACCCTCTCTCGGCACTCTCTCTCTCGGCACTCTCTCTCGGCACCCTCTCTCGGCACCCTCTCTCGGCACCCTCTCTCTCGGCACTCTCTCTCTGCACTCTCTCTCTCGGCACACTCTCTCTCTCGGCACTCTCTCGGCACTCTCTCTCGGCACTCTCTCGGCACCCTCTCTCGGCACCCCTCTCGGCACTCTCTCTCGGCACCCTCTCTCGGCACCCTCTCTCGGCACCCTCTCTCTCGGCACCCTCTCTCTCGGCACCCTCTCTCTCGGCACCCTCTCTCTCGGCACCCTCTCTCTCGGCACCCTCTCTCTCGGCACCCTCTCTCGGCACACTCTCTCTCTGCACTCTCTCTCGGCACCCTCTCTCGGCACTCTCTCTCTCTCGGCACTCTCTCTCGGCACTACTCTCTCTCTCGGCACTCTCTCTCTCTCGGCACTCTCTCTCTCGGCACCCTCTCTCGGCACTCTCTCTCGGCACACTCTCTCTCTCGGCACTCTCTCTCGGCACACTCTCTCTCTCGGCACCCTCTCTCGGCACTCTCTCTCTCGGCACTCCCTCTCTCGGCACCCTCTCTCGGCACCTCTCTCGCCTCTCTCGGCACTCTCTCTCTCGGCACTCTCTCGGCACCCTCTCTCGGCACCCTCTCTCGGCACCCTCTCTCGGCACCCTCTCTCGGCACCCTCTCTCGGCACTCTCTCTCTCTGCACTCTCTCTCTCTGCACTCTCTCTCTCGGCACACTCTCTCGGCACTCTCTCTCGGCACACTCTCTCTCTCGGCACTCTCTCGGCACTCTCTCTCGGCACTCTCTCGGCACCCTCTCTCGGCACCCTCTCGGCACTCTCTCTCGGCACCCTCTCTCGGCACCCTCTCTCTCGGCACTCTCTCTCTCGGCACCCTCTCTCGGCACCCTCTCTCGACACTTTCTCTCCCCCCCCCCCTCTTTCTTTGTGATGTCACAGAACCAACAAGCAAACTATCAATGGTGGAGCGATAAACATGAAGCAGAATGTTTTGAGTTTTTGGTGAATTCTCAGACTTTTCCGCAGTAAGAAGAGCCCATGAAAGAAAAGTCTGAACTTTAAAAACTGTCTCAACCTCAACAGACTTTAAAAAACAATCTGAGCGTAGGCAGAAAGACGACACCTGCTCAAACCATTATCCACCTCCATTATTCATGCTCTACCTGCACTTTACCGTTCTTTACAAATCAATGCCCCGGCCTCTCATCTGTCTTTTTCTCTGTCTCTCATCTCTCCCCGTCTCTTTCTGTCTCCCCCTCTCGGTCTCTTCCTCTCTCTCTGGCCTCTCTCTCTGGCCTCTCTCCCTCTGTCTCGCTCCTCTCTCTTCCCCCCCCCCTCTCTCTCTCCCCCTCTGTCTCCCTCCTCTCTCTGTCTCCTTCTCTCTCTCTCTCCTTGTCTCTCCCCCTGTCTCTCTCCTCTCTCTTTCCGTCTGTCTCTCCCTCTCTCTCTGACCTCTCTCCTTTCTCTGGCCTCCGTCTCTCTCCCCCTCTCTCTCTCCTCTCCCTCCATCTGTCTCTCTCCTCTCTCTTTCCGTCTGTCTCTCCCTCTCTCTCTGACCTCTCTCCTTTCTCTGGCCTCCGTCTCTCTCCCCTCTCTCTCTCCTCTCCCTCCATCTGTCTCTCTCCTCTCCCTCCATCTGTCTCTCTCTCTCTGTCTCTCTCTCTCTCTCTCTCTCTCGACCTCACATCTGCTCGTCATTACAGACTGTATTTTTACCAAACTGACATAACACATGTGCGGGCCGTGGACGGTGACATCAGAGGAGCGAACCCAAGACCCGCCTGTTGGAGCGAAGGGGGCGGGATGAGGTCATGTTGTCATGGAAACGCTCTGCAAATCCCATTGTCCCGCGGGATCCTTCAGCCAGAAGTGGGTTTAGGAATGTAGAAAAGGTATAATGTGACTTTTGGATTGTTCCGGGGCCACGCCTTTGAGCGACTGCTGCTTCCTGGGAGTTTCCTTTTAGAAGCACGTCGGAAATTAGCATGTGTGTGACTGTAAACTTATGTAAATGGGGGAGTTTTATTTAATTTTAGACTTTTGCCCAAAGCACAGGAAAAAAAAGTTATTTATGATTCTGACAATGTTTTTTTTTTATGCCTTTCTCTCAAGGTCTAAACTTTAAGAATAGAGAATAGTTTAGTTCCTTTGTTCCTCCCACAGCGGGGAAATGTCAGTGTTGCATCACCAGTTACAGAACAAGACATGAATAATAACTTTATACTAGAATAAAATAAACTCTGTAACTTTAGCATAATAAAGAAGCGTGTTTAGCAGCATGAGGGCACGAGCCGAAGACCACAGACTGTAAATATCAGACGTAGTCACGCCTTTCTCTGTCGTTCTAACGGTGTTTTCAGAGCGCCAACGCTGAAACGCTGAAGCCCCGCTCACCAGACGCGCATTCTCTAGTTTTCAGACGCAGAGGTCTTTACACCAGAACGTCCTGACGAGAGCCGGAAGTACCGGAAGTAGCCGGCTCTGATGCTAACAGAGCTTATGCTAGCGGCTTCTTGTGCACAGATCTTCTCCAATATGCAGCTTTGCAGCGTGTCTTTGCTCAGACATTCCACGGGCTTTATATAACAGCAGTATGTGTTCACGGTGACTTTATATAACAGCAGTATGTGTTCACGGAGGTGACTTTATATAACAGCAGTATGTGTTCACGGAGGTAACTTTATATAACAGCAGTATGTGTTCACGGAGGTGACTTTATATAACAGCAGTATGTGTTCACGGAGGTAACTTTATATAACAGCAGTATGTGTTCACGGAGGTAACTTTATATAACAGCAGTATGTGTTCACGGAGGTGACTTTATATAACAGCAGTATGTGTTCACGGAGGTAACTTTATATAACAGCAGTATGTGTTCACGGAGGTGACTTTATATAACAGCAGTATGTGTTCACGGAGGTGACTTTATATAACAGCAGTATGTGTTCACGGAGGGTAACTTTATATAACAGCAGTATGTGTTCACGGAGGTGACTTTATATAACAGCAGTATGTGTTCACGGAGGTGACTTTATATAACAGTAGCATGAACACACTCGAAGGTGTTGCATAAGGTCACGGGAGCATGACAACTCATATTTTCACAATCACAGAGTCCCCCATTGTCAGCCCTGGTTTGAGTTCTGGTGAAGTCTGGTGTGGGTCCTGTTTTGGCTGTTTACAGTATGTTCAGTCTGCTCTCTCAGTCCGCTAATGTCCCCATGACCACTTTGCTGCTCTCTGATTGGTTGTCGCACGAACGTCCCAAAGAAAGGATGAGCAGAATCCATCTCCTGTGGGCGTTCATTTTTCCTCCTGCTCCTCCCTTTCACTTTCCCGCTAAGTCCGTGCGTCTCGACTGAACAGTCCGTTCGTGCGAACCGAGCGGTCTGTGCGTTGTGACGGTCGAACACTCGTCACCATAGACTTTGCATTGAAACCCGATGCATCATGATCCGGTTTTGGACCATCCTGTAAAGACTTTTTCGAGAGGTCTGCTAACGCTATATGTTAGCATTGGCTAATTCTTATTCCGGGTCCACCCCCACAGGCCCGGGGTGGTACTGCAGCATGTCAGCGCACGTCATTTTGGCCACTTTTGGGCCGGGACCCGCCCACACTGGTAAAGACACAGTGGACACATGTGATTTAATCTACGTTTGTGTTCTGCAGTAGGTTCAGTCCATGCCATTTTATAATTGAGTTTTTTCTAATATTTAAGATTTGATGAAAGTCGGTCTCGCGGCCCTCGCTGCCGTCTTTAACGCCCGCACACACACAACTGTTTGTTGTGTTGTTTGTTGGCACTTAATGACTGCCTGATGCCATATTTATGTTTCTTTTAACTGTTCATTTTAGTCTGTTTTAACCCGTCACATCCACTGCAGGATCAATAGACCTCATTTTCACACCTCTGAAACCCTGGACCTGAGGACTGGTCCCTGGTCTGAAAAACCCTGGGACCTGAGGACTGGTCCCTGGTCTGAAAAACCCTGGACCTGAGGACTGGTCCCTGGTCTGAGAAACCCTGGACCTGAGGACTGGTCCCTGGTCTGAGAAACCCTGGACCTGAGGACTGGTCCCTGGTCTGAGAAACCCTGGACCTGAGGACTGGTCCCTGGTCTGAGAAACCCTGGACCTGAGGACTGGTCCCTGGTCTGAGAAACCCTGGACCTGAGGACTGGTCTGCAGCCGTTGGGAGCTGGCGACTGTTATGATTGTTGGCCATACCAATAAAATCTATTTTGATTGTATTTCATGGCAAAGATCTCAAAGGAAACAGAACAAAACTGGTCATACTGTAGTCTGTTCATTACTATTCACCTGCTGTCCCATTGTGTTTCATAGCCTGTGTCTGTGAGAGCTCTCTCCTTATCCAGATTTCACACTTTTACCCCAGTTCTGAATTCATTTTATTACCATTATAAGCTAGTAAGAAGAATTAGCTTTCGCTGAAGGTGCAATCAAGACATAAGAGTAAAAAGGTAGAGACAAATCTTCATAGAAAGTCTATTAACAAGTGCCCTGAGTCAGGAAAGTCCACTTGGTTGTGTTTTAGTTGTTTCTTTGCTGATGCAGGAGAGTCCAAGGACAGTTACTAACATTCATGGCACATTGATCCTTCTCCCCATGGACCCAGGGCTCCTGTGTTTGTTATTATTGTACTTCCTGTGTTTGAGGAATCTACAGCTTTGTAAAGTCACCCGAGACGACTGGATTTAAAGCGATTCACAAATGAGTTGGCAAAAAACAAAGGCCAAAGCTTCCAGAACATCAGACTCAGAAAGCACTCTGCGATGGTGCATTACGCTGCAGATGGACGGATGTAGCTCGGACACCGCCCCATCCACTTCCAGCTAATCGCAACCATTTCCTCCCATCGACCCTGCCCCCATCGACCCCGCCCTGCCCTGAGATGCCCCTGCCCCGGACCGGCCTCGCTGCAGAAGTTATTTATTGACGTAGACAGAACAGAGAACCAGAGCAAACACACGCTCACCCCGAGGCGGTGAAATGATGGTGTAATTGAGCTGGGGTTGGACCAGATGGAACGTGACGCAACCTGGGACCTCCGATGGGTTAGGAAGCAGCAGACCATGGGGTTGGACTGTGTCGATTGGGAGAAAAACTGTTTGGATTGGCTTGGACTAATTAGAGAAGCAAAATGCAAACAGGAAATCAACTAATACCAGGTTAAAATGTGTCATGTTTCTGACTTCAAAACTGCAAATTCATTCAAAGTCATTCTGGTTTTTTAGACCAGTCCAGGGCCATCATTTCAACAAGAAAGCCTTTAAAACACACACAAAAGAAATAAACATGCATTTATCAATAATAAAATGATCTATTGCCTGATGATCAGTCGCAGGCACAGATAAAAGGACCAGTTTTCAGCCTGGACCTGAATATAGCGAGGGTGGCAGCCTGTCTCACACCTTCGGGAAGACTGGGATTCCAGGTGCATAGGTCTAGAACGCTGCCTCCCCAAGTCCCTGTGCTCCTCAGAGTCCCAGCAGGAGGCCATCCCTGTGCTCCTCAGAGTCCCAGCAGGAGGCCAGTCCCTGTGCTCCTCAGAGTCCCAGCAGGAGGCCAGTCCTGTGCTCCTCAGAGTCCCAGCCCAGTCCCTGGAGGTCCCAGCAGGAGGCCAGTCCCTGTGCTCCTACAGAGTCCCAGCAGGAGGCCAGTCCCTGTGCTCCTCAGCGTCCCAGCAGGAGGCCAGTCCCTGTGCTCCTCAGAGTTCGAGCACGTCCCATATGTACTTCGGTGCGATGGCCTATACAAATTCCTAACTTGTGACTTCCAGTTACTTAAACTAAATAAAATGGATTCAGACTTTAGTGTTTCCGTCAGACTCGTCTTCATCCTCCGCCTTCAGCTCGTGATGCTCAGACCGAACAAAAGCCTCCGTGACACTCTGCAATCATCGCTAATAACAACGTCCAACTGAAGCATCGGGTTTGTCCGTTTGTTATCGTCCAAATGTTACGGTCTTTTATGGATGAGAGCGGCTTAAAAACTCTAACTCTGCTCCCATTACACAGGCCTGGACCGCCGGGACGGTGACCTTCAGCCGGGGATCACTGGGCTATTGGATTTGGTTGGAGGGGGTTTGGTCCAGGATCATACACACACACACACACACACACACACAGACAGACAGAGAGAGAGACACAGAGACACACACACACACACACACAGAGAGACAGAGACACACACACACACAGACAGAGAGAGAGAGACACAGAGACACACACACAGACAGAGAGAGAGAGAGAGACACACACACACACACACACACACACACACACACACAGACAGAGAGACACACACACAGACAGAGAGAGACACACACACACATACACGGTCACACACACACACACAGACAGAGAGAGAGACAGACACACACACACACACACACACACACACAGACAGAGAGAGAGAGACACACACACACACACACACACACAGACAGAGAGACACACACACACACACACACATTCTTGCTAAATGAAACGTTGAGACCTGCAGATGGACAGACACCGGGTCTGGACTGTGGACCGGTGTGAGTCCAGATGAGACCAGGACTAGAGTTTATAATGGGTTCTGTAAGTGCATGGATCAAACAAACCTCCCAACCATGGCTTATGTCTTTCCATTTCAACTGTTATCTCCATCTATTCAAGACACTGCAAAAAATGACAATAAACCAGTGTCCTGTAGCTACCGACACTTGATGGAGTCAAAATAATAAGTCCATAAACTCTGCTCTGACAACTTTACCGCAATAAAACATAAAATCAGCCTCATCTCTACATTTATAAAGCAGGGATCAAAGAAAGTAGC